TGATAAAAGGCAAGGATAATATGTAGAAGATTCACTGGAGAACACGGCCCGTTCCTCCAAGACAGAGCTAAGTGCCCTTTTGCCAACCTTGCTGCTCACTGCCCTGCATCAGAGCCTCATCTGCAACTGCCTCTTTCCAGGCACCCAAGATTCCAGCCTTCCTCCCTTCTCATTCACCCTTCATCACACTTAGTACTTCATTATATTTATGTTTAATTAATTTGCTAACCTATTAGTCTATGTGAAACTTAAAAGGAGTTTCAGAACCTTCTCTATATCCCTGGAGTCTAGCACAGAACCCCGTGTGTGGAAGGCACTGAGTAATAGTTTTTTGAATGAAAACCACTGGGGTGATATTTCTAAAACATAAATCTCATCATGCTGCTTGCCAGGAAAAAAATTTTAATTGATCTTTAGCATAGGATTTCAGTGCCTCCGTGATCTGATCCTTGTGCACTTCATCTCTCACCACTTTCTCCCCTTCCCTGTCAATTGCCCTTCATAATTTAGCCATGCTTAACTCGTACTTACAGTCCATTAGCAAGCCATTTTCTTTGACCTTTGTGTTTTACACATTTTTTTCTCCACGTGAAATGAGATTCCCTACTTCCCTTGACAACCTAGCAATCTAATGCTGGCACAACGATACCAGAGTGGATTTTGAACATTCCCTTGCTAAGTACCAAGGTAAGCTAAAATATAAGCTTGTAACCCAACTTGTCTTTGTCCTTCTTTGTTCTCTCCAGAGAAATAATTGAAGCCAGCCTATGTGCTTGCTCTGGTTTGTCCAGATGTCTAGTAAGAAAAAAATGAGTTTCTCTGTGGTTTAGATGTCAGAGTGGGCTTTTCTTTTCTTTTTCTTTTCTTTCTTTAATGTATTTTGTACAGGGCTTCAATACGCAGCTCGGACTCATGGTGATCCTCCTGTTTTCAGCCTTCCCAGTGCTGGGATCACAAGTGCATGTCACCATGCCTGGTCTTGGTGGCCAGCTCAGCGTGCCCTGGGGTCAGGGCAGACATGGCATGTGGATCCAAGGATGGAACCTAGAGTGGACTTTTCTGTAGTTATAATGGTAAATTAAATTATCTCTCCTGAAACACAACTAGGAACTGTTAATTCCAATATCCCTGAGAAATCCAAAACAAAATGAAAAATAACCTCCAAATATTTCAAAAGAACAAGAGCAAAAAAGAATGCACCTTTATAGACCTACAAACAACATTCTCCAAAGCTCTGTGGAGTTGAGCAGGTAGCATGAATGAATAGATGAGGGTAGTGGACCATGAAGGAACTATAACAAACTGATAATTCTTACTTCATCTAAAGGTTATTTATCTTCTCCCGTTCATACTTCATAACCTTAACATTTTGTGGGGTCTGCTTACTTCACACTCATTTGAAAGAGAAATGTGATTTGTAAAGCCCTTATATCTTTGACCTCTACAAGAAAGAGAATCATTTTAAGTATGGGAAATAGCTTGAAGAAAATCACGAAGCATAGATAAACTGTCTTGGGAAATCTCCTGCCTTAGTCATACTTGTCTCAGTGACTTACTTAAGCCCAACACTGGATCAGGCCACCCATATATAGCAGCAGTCTTTTTGGTTTTCTTGAGAAAGGTTTTATACTATGTAACCCAGAACTTACAATCCTCCTGCCTCAGCCTTAAAAGTACTGGGATTACAGGCATGCTCCACCATGTCCAATTTAAATTAAGTTTTAGTTCCATTGCATATTAGCTGTGTAACCTGGGGCAGGTCACATCATCTCACTGTGTTATAGCATCTGTAAAATGGGACTACTACTAGAAACTATGTTATAAGGACAAACTAAGCTACTAATATGTACAAGGCATTTCAAACAGTACCTAGCTCATAATAAATACTCAATAAGGTTAGTCATTGTTAGTATACTTATTGTAAACTAATAAAACTAATTTAACAATTGTAATTAAATGTTAGATATTACAAGATGCTAATGGCTTAATATTCTCTATCTCATACGTACTCTATCTCATCACACTTAGTACTTCATTCTATTTATGTTTAATTAATTTTGTCACCTATTAGTCTATGTGAAACTTGAAAGGAGTTTCTCATTTCCAAGGGATCTTTAGAAGCCTTAAGCAAAGGAATAAGGGGAGAGATAGTTTCCTCTCTGACAGGGTCTGTGAGAGTTTATAACAAGTCTTTTTTTGCACTCAAGATGAACTGTGGATTTATTTTCGCGGTGCTGTATTTTTGTATTTGTGGTCTAAATGCTTTATCTGGAGATAGAAAAAGAAAAGGATTTTTCAAAGTTCCTTGTGATCTGGGCAAATCCAACTGCACTCAGAGTAGAAAGTAGGTACACCACCTGGCTCACTCTTTCCTCTTTCTAGATCTTGACTATATTCCTGTTAGTGAGGAGTAAGCAAGGGTAAGCAGGGAGTCCGGTGTCAATGTGCTTTGTGTGTCTGTAACAGTGCCTCTGCCAACCTAAAAACATTCTCAGAATATGTCTTTCTTCCATCAAACCCTGCCCCATATCATTCCAAGTTAATTGGAAAGGATCCTGGGCCCTGGGTCTAAATGGTGTTGGTGAACAGTGTAAGCTATTAGGGCTAGGACAGGGCTAAGATGCAGGGTCAATCCCAGGCTAGGCTGGATAGATATGAAGTTCTCTGTGGAAGGTATATAGAGACATTGGGTGTGCTTCCAAAAGTCCCCTTAGAAACCAAGGACCCTTCCTGCACATGCACGTAGGGCTGCCTTTTACTGGGTGCACTAGATGGAAGTGTCCACTCAGTGTGGTTCTGAAAGCTTGAGGGAAGAGGCAAATCTCTTTTTGCTTGATTTGAAGACATCAGGTCTATTTCTAGCTTCTTCCTGAAATCATAAACTTAAATAAATTTTAAGGAAAAACATATACAGGTACATGCTAGTTATTTTCTAGCTGAGGCTTTTCAATAATGAATATACAGAAGGCTTCAGTCATGATAATACCGAACAGTGTAACCACAGTTCACAATGATTTGTTTTCAAAATTGCTTAAAAACAGACTTTTAAGGAGCTGGGAAATAGCTCAGCAATCTAAGCATCTGCCTAGAAGCACAAGGACCCAGGTTCAATCCCCATTATCACATGCCATGCTGGCCCCGGAATCTCAGGTATGCCGTGATAGCCCCCAAAACCAGATATGGTGGTGTACACCTGTAATCTCAGCACTGGGGTGGCTGAAACAGGAGGATCACTATGAGTTCAAGCTGCATAGCAAGACCCTATACCAAATAAATAAATAAATGATTTTTCAAAATTTAAAAAAAACAGATTTTTAACATTCTCATCAAGAAATATGATGTCATGAGATGATAGATATATTAATTAGTAGGTTGACTATAATGTATACATAGAGCAAAATATCACATTATACCCCATAAATATGCATAATTTGTCAATTAAAAATAAATAATAATTTTACAATGCCTTCTTCTTAAAAGATCACAAAATTAAAAGATGCCATTCTAATATTATAATTTGGTAAGGTATAGTAGTATACAACTGTAATCTCAGCACTCAGGAAGCTGAGGCAGGAGAATCGATACAAGTTCAAGGCCAACCTGGGCTACACAGTAAGTTGAAGGCCAGCCTGAAATGTATAGTGAAACCCTGTCTCAATAAACAAACAAACAAGCAAGCAAGCAAACATTCTTCTCAGTTCTTTTTTTTTTTTTTTTTTTTTATGGGTGTGTGTGTGTGTGTGTGTGTGTGTGGCCAGCTCAGCCCACCAGGGGGCAGGGCTGGCTGGCATGTGGTGCTGGGGATTGAACTGCGGTCCCTCTTCTTTGCCAAGCTTGTTCCAAGTAGGTGCTCCAGACCACTGAGCCATCTCACCAGCCCCTCTTCTCAGTTCTTTAGACACTTTGTACACATTAGATTTAGGTCCTATGGACCAGTAAACATTTTCTGTTCTACATTCTGGTGCCATCAGGGCATACAGAATTTTCAGAAGCCATCAATGAAGTTAAACAACTCACTTGCCAGCCAGTTTCTTTCTGTCAGGCACACTGTTCTCAATAATGGCAGGGGGAAAGTGCTTCTCTTATACTCTGCCGGCCTGGAGCTGCTGGGGCTTTAGGTCTTGGTCTCTGTGTGGAGCAGCATGGAAACAGGAACTTCTGACTTCCATCCATTGTCCCTTCCACTCATGTAATTTATTCATTCAACATAGATGTATTAACTATATAGTTTAGTGTATGCCGAGCACTCAGTAAGGAGATAAAATATCTCCATTGCAATAGTCGCTTCTGCCAGGTCTCTCGGGGTGTGCGGAGCTCAAACTCTTTTAATAACAGTTACAGTCCACAGTTATAGACTGATCTGGGGAAGAAGCAGAGGGCATGATTGGGGGTAGTCACCGAAGGAAGGCACATACGATCTGTATTTTCTCAAGTTATTTAAAGTCCATTTTGTTTCCTCCACTTGTTGAGGGATTTTTCCCCACATGTAAGTTCTAAGAAGTAGTGAAGATATGAAGATGGGACTCAGGGATCCTGGCAGACTACCCTCTGCCCAAGATGGCATCTTGACTACAAGTGGCAATTTTAGAGCAAAACATTTCAATCCCTAGCACAGAAACTGAATCCTGGCCTAGCTGCTGAGAACCCCATGCCAAGCACTGGCACTGAAGTCGCTTTTGGCTCTGGCTTAACTCTGTGTAAGTTGGGGCCCAGGCTCCTTGCTCGGTTCAGCAGCTTGTATTGATCTCCAGGGCCCTTTTGTCTCCTCCTCCACAGCAGAAGCCTCTCCTCTCCCCCTCTCTCCCTCTGCTTCCCTGGCTCTTTCTCTTTCCTCCTCTGCTTCTATTGAATTGAGATCGGAGAGCCGCCACAGCTCTGGTAGTTTTACAAAACTGCCCTTGCTCTCTCTGCATTTGCCCAGTCGAGGGTGTCTTTGGCTGAGGTCACAGTGATGCTGTTAGCTCTGCTGATGATTGCATAGCAGCACAGAGCAGCTCGGAGAGGGAAGGAGGAGGAAAAGAAGGAGGGCAGGGAGGTGGGAGAGACGGAGGGCGAGTGTGCATACAGCAGCTGCCGGCATCCCTGTCTCAGGGACTTCTTTGCTGATTCACACAGGCAACCCAGCCCTGGCCTCCCAGCTTCCAGCCACCCAGCTGCTTCTCAGAACTGCCAGAATCAGAAGGTAGGCCAGAGAAATGATTTCCAAGCCTCGCCCTTGTTCAGCTGAGGGGAATTGACTGAAGGAGAGGAGGCTCTAGAGCTAGTGTGTGTGTGTGTGTGTGTGTGTGTGTGTGTGTGTGTGTGTGTATTGTGTGCTGGCCGGCCTGCATGTGCCTTTGGGGGAAAAAAAACTTGCATTAAAAAATGTTCGTAATGTAGTAGCCACTGCTTGGATTCATAAAGAAGAAAAAGATACCCAGAAATAGAAACTCAAGCCAATTTGAGAAACTGTGATCTAAAAATGAATAGCAGGAAAGTCCAGGGTGTGCTTCTTTGAGAGGAGAGGGACATTTATTTATTTATTTTAGGTTTTCAATGACATGCTTGTTGTTCAAGGGTAGATTTCTTGGTGAGAGGGAAGGGAAGGTGTTTGGAAAGCACTGGCAGGAAAGGGGTAAAAGAGGAAACATGGGACCTCCAAACAAATGAGTATGCTGACCGGCGGAAAGGACACAGGAGTACTGTCCTGAAGTACGCCAGGCTCTGACCCAAAAGGCTGGGACTGAGGGATTCATTTCATCTCTGTGTTTATTCCCTGGTTCCCTTTGTTTTCCCTGCTGCCTCCCCCACCTTGTCTTCTGCTCTGCTTTCCTTTCACCCCCTGTTGTCTCTCCACTCTTGAGAGCATAAGCTCTGAGTGTTTTGAAATAGCTTACTTCTCTGAAAGCCCAATCCCCACCCCCTTCCCTTCTGCTCTCCCTCCATTTATCATCATCAGGCCAAATGTCCCAGCCTGGTAAGTGGGTCTGAGGCTACATGGGTAGTTGTCATCTGTCTTCGCTTTGTTAGTCAGGTGCAGAATACCCTCGTGCTGGTCCAAAGATCTAGCAGTGCCGAGCCGGAGTGGAGAGACAAAGGGGGTTGTGAGCAGCAGCTGCTGCCACCTTCCCCTGAGAGCATGGTGCATGCTATCCAGAACAGAATATACTTTCTCTTATGTTTTCTTTTTGATTGTTCCAAAGAATAAAGGCCTTTAAAAAAAATCTCTATGTTTCATTCACCTTAGCTCCTGACTTTTCCAAAGTAATCTTGTTCCTAGATGAAAGGCCTTCAAGTAAATCACCTTTCAAAAAGGCAGTGTGGGACCCACAAACCTTAGGAAAGGTATTCCCTCTAAGAGTTAGCTAGAGCAATGATTTCAGAGCATCTCATGGCCTTCTGAGTGCCTCCCACACACACACACCCTGAAAAGACAGTTCTAGAAGTTGGAGTAACCCTGAGAGAAGGCAGAGTCCCTCCTTCCCTGAGAGGACAGGCCCCTCTGCCTTGCAGTCCTACTTCCTGCAAACTAAAACGGCAAGAGGGAGATTCCAGAGGAATGGCCTGAGCAGCCCCTCAGTTCCCTCCTGCAATGGTAGTAGGCTCTTTTCTATATTTCTGGAGATATCTTATAGAAATATAAGCACATGTTTCCTTTCTTTATACAAATAGAGACTATTTTGGCTTTTTCTTTTTGTACTTAAAAAATAACTTATGAGACTATTTCTTGTTGGTAAGATGTTCTGGTTGTATAGAATTCCATTATATGGAAACATTATTATTTATTTAACTAGTCCCTTAATAAAGGGCATTTAGGTTATTTGCAACTTTTGGCCATTTCAAGCCTTGCTTCAAATGCTAACACTATACATACATCATTTCACACAAATTCAAAACCTAAAGCTTTTCGTGTGTTGCTTTCTAGTATTTGTGTCAACAAAATCAAGGACCTGTGTGCTTATATAATTGGAGTTCAATTCAATCACTTTCAGGCCTTTTAGCTACAATCAATTCAAGTTGGGAAACTTTTACCAAGTGGCTTTTCTGTGTCTAGCATGGTGTGTAAAAATATATAGAATATGAATAAATATAACATATGGACCTTTCCTTCCATAAGTCAATAATTTTGCTTTCACACTAGAATCCTGATATTTTCCATGTTTATAATGCTTTTATTCCCTACCCAAGAGAAACAACACCTTCTCTGAATCCTGCTGGAAGGATCTGTATGTGTTATCAGGAATGAAAGTAATATTTCTAGTATTTACTGATTCTAAAAGACATAGCTTTGCCCAGGGTGCCCTAGGCGCTCGGCCAACGGCCTCTGCGAGCACCCCGGGAGCCAGCGGGCGGCGGCCTTGTCCGGGACGCTCTGGGGGTCCCAGGGGGACTGACGAGGCTCCAAGTCCAGCCCATGCACGGGAAGCAAGTTAAGGATTAATATGAAGCTCAGAAGCAGATAGTGCCAAACAACGAGTAGCACTTGGTACACATTTGGTTAGAGTGGCAGCATTTCCTTCTCCCACTGCTGCTGAGTTGGCAGAAATTAGCCAAATTCGGTATGAAATGGAATACACCGAAGGTATTAGTCGGCGAATGAGGGTCCCGGAAAAATTAAAAGTCGCACCACCAAATGCTGACCTGGAACAAGGATTCCAAGAAGTTTCAAATGCTAGTGTGATAATACAAGTTCCAGAGAGGATTGTTGTAGCAGGAAATAATGAAGACGTTTCATTTTCAAGACCAGCAGATCTTGATCTTATTCAGTCGACTCCTTTAAAACCTCTGGCACTAAATACACCACCTCGTGTACTTATACTAAGTGAGAGACCGCTAGATTTTCTGGACTTAGAAAGACCTTCTTCAACCCCTCAAAGTGATGAAATCTGTGCAGTTGGCAGGTATGAGTGAAAATGCTGTTTGCCAAAGTGGACAGCTGGTCACAAATGATGCTATACCTGTGTTGCGTGGTGGGTCTGCTGCCACCACTTCCAATCCTCATCATGACAGTGTCAGGTATGGCATTTCAAATGTAGATGCAACAATTGAAGGAACAGCGGATGACATGACTGTTGTAGATGCAGGTTCATTAAGACGACAGACAATCAAACTAAACAGACGCCTACAATTTCTAGAAGAGGAAAACAATGTGCTAAAAGAGAAATGGTCATGTATCCAATTACTGTTGCTTTCTGGCTGCTTAATAGCTGGCTCTGGTTTCGCCGCTAGAGGTAACCTCGGCGTTCAGATATATTGTCTCAGCTGTTGGAAATATAAAGGATTTACAAACGTCTTTGTTTCTGTCTTTGCAGTGTATGCGATTTTATATAGCCCATGCCCTAAAAAAATGTATTTCTTCCAGAAAGTAGGGGAAAGGACCTATATTTGTAGAAGTAAGGTATATTCTGTCCCTCTGCTGTATTCTCTTTCAGCTAGTTCTGCAGTAACATCTTACGTAAAATTCTTTTGCATGTTTTGTAAATAGGTTCTATTTTGTTTTTGTTTTTTTTTAATTGGTTTTTAACCTCACCAGTCTGCACAGCTGATTCTCTGAAAGGGAGAGAGACTGCATCAGGAATGATTTGGAAGGGTGTCTGTAAAGAAAATAAGTGTTTTGTGCTGCTTGCCACTAGTAAGCAGTTTTGTTAATAGACATTTTTGCACTGCCTTTTGACATTAACACGACATCTTGGGCTGGTACCAGATTTAAGAAAATCAAACCACCTAATATTTCATGATCACCTGTACAAATTAAATTGATTCCTAACAATACAGAAAAAAAATAAAATAAAATAAAAGACATAGCTTCATGTATAGCAAGGATTCCTAGGGGGAGAGCACATACAAGTTATTGCTGCCCCCAAATCATCCTCTATTCCATGTGTCCAAATCTCCTCTTCACATTAGCTCAAAAACATTCCTTTCGTAAACTTATTCTAAATCTTTCCAACTAAAAGCGAACATTTCCTCTTCTGTGTCCTCTTGCAGCATGATTTCTGAATCCCACATACAGTATGAATCATTTCTGTCTTAAATTATATTTTTTGTGTATAGGTATTATTTCCTATACATGCAAGTCAAGGATCAAGTGTGATTCACCTCTAATTCCTCCTATCTTCTGCAAATTGATGGAACAGGGGATTGAACTCAGGCCTTTGTGCTTTTCAAGGAAGCGCTTATTCCACTAAGCCATCTCCCTGGCCACCTCTGCAAAATAAAAAGAGGACTAGTGAAAAGATCAGTGTATTCAGGTGGTAATTTAGGACAGGATAAAAATAGAGAGAAATCTTTGGGTAGAAAGTAAGCACTGGCCCAGGCATCAAGAGACTTAGATTCACTTCGGTCTCTGCATTTTTATCTATAAAATAGGACTGTAATTTTCCCTGGATAACTTTACCAGGCTACACTGAGGATCATGAAAGACAACCTAATAGACTATAAAAACATGCTGTATACATAGACGAAACAACAGTGTTTTGGTGCTTAGAAATATATGTGGTTTGTTTTTGCTTTTTTTTTTAAGACAGGGTCTCACTATGTAGTTTGGGCTGGCCTTGAACTTCAGCAGCCCTCCTGTGTCAGCCTCCCAAGTGCTAAGATTATAGGCAGGCACCACCATGCCGGGCTGGGACCCGGTAAATATTAATATTTGACAGAGTGGTAAGCCAAGACATAAGAACTGAAATCATTTGCGGTCACAATCAGAAGCAAAGTCTACAAACATGATCATCCCACTAACACCAGAAGGAAGTTAGTCCTTTTCTGCCTGTGTTGAATTAGGAGGTATGAACTCCCTGACTTTATCTTGGTTTTCTTTTGTGAACTATCATCCTGACATTAGATCAATAGAGCATTAAAAGGGAAGAGGGTTAATTTACAGACAAGTAAATCACAAAAGAAGAAATACAAATGGCCACTAGAAACCAGGAGGGGGAATTAAGCCTCTGAGGAACTAAGGAAATGCAAAGGAATGCTCAAGATGCCATTTTCAGGCACAAAGTTAGCAAATAAAATAAGAATACTTACCATTAGTAAGTATAATGAGAAATTAGCACTCTCATACATGACTAATGGTAACATAAAGTGATAGAAACTTTTTTCTGTGGCAATTTAGAAATATGTGTCACATGCCTGAAATTGATTCTATAACCTTTAATCCATGAATTCCCCCTTCTAGCAAATTGTCCTAAGCAAAGAATCACAAATATGCACAAGGTTGTCCATTGCAGTTTGACTTCTAAAACAGAAGAATTCTAAACCTATATCTAATTCTTAAAATAAATGTGATATGTCCGTTCCATACAATATTTTACAATAAATCTAACATTTATTGAGCCATGTAGTCTTGCCAGATATGTGCGAAGGTATCTAAATACAATATGTATTAATTCTAAGAATTCAAATAATTCTGTGAGGATAATATCATTGTTATCCTCAGTCTGCAAATGAGGACACTGAGACCCAGAAAGGTCAACTTATTCCAGGCCACACCACTAACAGGTTGAGTAGTGTAGACTTGCCTCTAGGTCCGTCTGATGCCAGAGCCTATGACTTCAACCCTACTGCTCTACCACTTATAAAGCTGTTAGAAATCAGGTTTTAGAGGAATATTTAATGACATCCTAAAACAATGCATAACAAAAGAAAAAAAGGTTATAAAAAGATAGCATATGATGACTATTTTAAAGTATACATATATTGTCATACAAAAATTATTATGTCTTCACACCTGTTAGTAAGGTTATCTCTGGGCAGTAACATTACAGACGACTTTTGTTTTCATCCTTATGAGTTTCATATTTTCCAGTATTTCTATAAAGAACATAGTAAGCACTCTTGGTGGTAGAGTGTTTGCTTGACATGTACCATTCTTGGGTCTGGGCTCTAGCACCATAAATAAATGAAAAGATTTTCTTTTTTGGTTGCTTTGAGACAAGGTCTTGCTATGTATCCCAGGCTGACTTCAAACTCACAGTGATCTTCCTGCCTCAGCCTCCTCAGTATTGGGATTACAGGTGTGTGCCATCATACCCCGTGGAAGATTTTAAAAGAATAAACTTTTCAGTGTTAGGGGTGTTATTCACCCTAGGCTTGATCCCTAGAACTACAAAAATTAACAAGGAAAATTAAAAACATACATTACTGTGTGATCAACATAAATAGAAAATATGAATATAAAAACAAATCCAAAAGGAAACTTGAGCCCCTTATGCCCATAACATATATACAGCACATCTATAGCAGTACTCATTTCTAAGTAATTCTTTTATGTGCTGCTTGATCACAGAGGAACACTTGCGACAATTTTTAGAGGAGTCGTTTTGGAAATGAAGAGCTATGCAGGTATATAATATGTAGAGATGTTTACTCTAACAAAGTGTGTTTCAGACCAAAACCTCTTGTGCTCCTGTAATCTGTACAATTTCCCAATCTTTGGACTCCTGAGGACAAAGGGTATTTGATACAAGGAAAGTCCACAGATCTTCAAATCTATGTGTTTTTCTCAATCTGTAAGTTCTAAAAGCACAGTTACTATTGTGGGTGTGAGTGGGTGAAGTGAGATTTTTGTTTTAATCTTAAGAAGGAGCCCTTGCACCTAAAATGTAGGAAAGCACTGGGACAGGGTCTAAAAATGGTGGCTAATTAATCTTAGTATCAGAAATTAAAGGTGCTCAGTTCCTGCTGCCCTTTGGATCCAGGTTTATATATTTTTGCCAGGTATGAAAATGGATCGAGTTTCTCATTTGCAAACATCATCTTTCCCACACATCCTGATCATATTTGTACACATCCACTAAACCTTCAATTGACTTGCATATCAATTTTTTTTGCTTAGTATCTATGGTTTCCTTTTTTATTTTAAAAATATTTTATAACCCTGTGCTTGGGACACATAATAAGTATATTCACTGTGAGATACTGGTACATATACACATTGCATTTTGATCCTGTTTACTTCCCTTTCCCCTCCTCTCCCTCTCATCTCTCATAGTTCTCCTTTTCTAAGCTTAGCACCTGACATCTAAAGTTGAATATGTATCTAGCATAGCTTGTTACATAACACTGACTTCACTCCTGACTTCACTTCCTTCTCTTGTCTTCTTTTGCTTATTGATGGTACCACTATCCATCCAAGTACCAAATTAGAAACATTACCTCTTTTTTTACCTCTCCCATCTTTCATATCCAATGGATCACCAAGCCATATAGATTGTACTTCAACATCTCTCAAAGGTGCAGTGCCTGCTCCATGCTAACTGCAACTGCTTATTCTATCAGCCTCTTGATGCCTTCTTGCCTCTGGAGGATCACTGCTCAAGGCAGCAGAAGAGCACATCCTTCCTGAAAGGAAAATTTGGTCATATCACTCCCCTGCTTCAAATCTTCAGTGCCTCCCAGTTGTCTATAAGATGAAGGCTAGAATCATCTGCTTGTCATTCAAGGTGTGACCCAATCTGGCCACAGCCTCATTTTCTAGCCTTATTTCCTGCATAGGCCCCATGTCATTTTTATCTGCTTGTCTCCTAAACTCTAGCCATGCTGAACTCACTCATCTCCAAACATACTTGGCTTTTTTGTGCTGTCAGCCTTTGCTCAGGTGGATTGGCCTGCCAAGAACACTCCATAGCTTTGCCCCATCTTTGCATAGGTAGATGTCTGGTCATTCTTTCAAGACTCATCTCAAATGCAGTCTCTAAATCTATGCACATTCTCAGTTAGCTTTTTCACCCTGTGCTTCCCTAGCCTTCTTCTCCAACCTTGATAATACCATCTGCAACAAAAACATTCTCTTATCATAGGTTACCTGACTGCTTTCTGCACACATCCTAGACAGCAATTCATCTTTGTATTGTTAGCACAAAGCAGAATAGGTAAACATTTAATACTTCCTTGATCAGTAAGGTTGGTTATGGTGCATAAAGCCTGGGAAGAACTATTGGGTAGGTCAGTAAGCTTTTAATACTTGAACACATGACTGGTCAAGGCAACTGAGTTGGTGATAGATTCATAGGCCTTTTCTAGGTCTTGATTCTAAATCTCTTGTTAATTTTCCAGGTAATAAATGGTCAACAGTTTGTCTGCTGCCTATCCTCATCTCCCCATGATCCTTGGTTCTGATGCAACCTATGGTCATGCAGGGATGCCCTTACACCCTCCCACGATGTCGTGAGTGGTGGACTGCTGACCGGTTCCATCACAGCAGCAGCCTCCGATGCACCTGTGCCCAGCCTCAGGTAAGAGTCTGGAGGCAAAAATAGATATATGGAAAAATCTGCACATAAGATCTCGGGTATTCTTAGGGTATCCATGCTTTCTAAGGCTCAGGAGTACTAGCTACTATATACATACACTTCTTGTACAGCGTGGGGCCTCCGTTAGGACCTTATCACTCATGAGGCCTTTTATGGGGAACATAGAGTAAGGAAGGTTATTGGGTTAGGCAAGACAAAGGATCCAATTCCATGTTAAGTTTCCAAAGGAAACAGATCTGGGGAGGTCCTAGAAGAGTGTGATTCTTCAAAGCATGGGTTAGGACAAGTCAGGACATTCCCTTGCCTTGGCTTTTCTGTGACACGTACCTCACAATCTATAGGTATCTTCCTCCTGCCATTGGCTTTTCCTCTCAAGTCCCTAGTCTTCCTTGCAGCTGCTAGATCAGCCGCTTTTAGAATTCTCCTGGCTTTATACTGGCCTCTCTACTCTCTTCTCCCCTAGGAACATGGTGATGGTGGTGTATATGCTAATAGGTGGTTAGAAGATATATGAGAAGCAGTGCTCTAGAAAGGGGAGCTACCTTTCCTGGCAATGAGCGATGTCCAAGGAAAGCTGACTGAAGAAGAGAGACACGTAGGCTTACTTTTAGTTTCTCTACAAGGTTTTGGAGTCCAGAGGCCAAGAAAGTATGTGCAAGTGCTATATCTGCCAAAATCTCACATATAGGATGTAGTGCTAAGTTGATACCAGGGGAGCAAGCTGTAGCTGAATCTGCAAGGAAGAAGAAAGATAGTGGGGATGGAAAATGTGGGTGCTGGGGAGCCAACTTTGGCAAGGATAATGAAGGAAAATAAAAATTCACAGAGCTATAAGGGTCATGTCCTCCTGAGCTGTTTCCTGCATCTAGCCAGAAAAACAATTGCTCCCTTTAACATATTCTCAAATCCAGGCAATTTAGAGTTCCCCAGTAACCTATCTCTTACCTGAAGTGGGACTTTCATATGCTAAAGGGATAAAGAAGCCTAGGCCCTTTCACTTGCTGTATTTATTGTGTGCATCCTCTAAGCATTACCACTTAGTGTGGGGGGCTCACAGCTTCCTTTTGTGATTACAAATGGTCCAGTCTAATCTGTGTCTCTTTCAATAGTCTAGTTTCTCTTTCTTTTATAAGCCCTTTATCTTAAAGATTTGAAGAATGTGTAGATAGCCTTACAGAAAATGGGTTGTGAGAAGCAAATATCTCAGCCACAAAAGCCAGAAGTAGAAGGCAATTGATTGGGAAAGGGAAAGAAAGTAATTGCTTTTCATGGTTTGCCTACTGTGTGCCTGGCTCTTCTAGGTGGGACTTCAGAGTATATGCACAATTGGGAGAGAAAAAAACAGAACACTGCCGAATAATTTGGGAACCAAAGGGGAGTTAGGAAACTAAAATGCTAGGGGTGATGATAAAAAGCTAAGGTGTGTGAAGCCCAGCTTGTCATGGGTGCATCTTCCCAGGTTAAAGCCAAGACACCTTGATCATGGCTGGGTCACAAGGGGCCATTCTGCCTCTGGGACATTCCCTTCTAGGGGAGTCTGTGGGGCTGGTACGAGCCCAGTTATCCCAGCACAAATGAAGCTGAGAGCTAGAACCGTTCCTTACTCTTGGCCTGTCATCCATTGCCACCCTCCAGTCACCCGAGTTGGCTCAGCTCAAGCCCTAGAAAGGGCAGGCAGCTGTTCCAGCTATTCCTGTAGGTGGGCCTCAGCATGTAAACAATGGAGGACTGTGGAAAACTCCGAGGACTCCGTGGGAGATACTTAAGTGGGGAAACAGAACCATTTTTGGTAAAAGTGAAGTGTTCCCTCAGTACTGAGAGGTGGGGGCCAAGCTCAGGAATGTTAACCTTTCCCTAGGGAAGCCTGATAGACATGGAAAAGAGCATGGGGCCGCTTCCAGGAGAGGCTCTTCCCTTTGTCCAGTGACTTATGGGAAAGAGCCCCTCACCCACCCTGCTCAGAGTAACACAGACAGACACAGACACAGCAGATTTCCCGAAAACTGGTTCCCCAGCATGAAAATGCTAGTTGCAAGGAGATGCCCAGAGATCATCCATTTTCCCCTATCATCAGGGTATAGTAAGAAGCTTGAGGTCATGGCCCTCCCTCCAATCTTATCTGTCTCTCAAAGGCAGGGCAGAGCAACCCCTAGTTTTCCCAGTGGATTCCAATGAGTCTTCTGGTCCCTGTACTCACTCAAGAATAATCAAATTTAGCAGCCTTCTGCTACCCCAGTTTCCCATCGCTGCTATCTCTGTCCCTAGCTGTGCCACATATATTCTTCATTGCCACTGAGGAGGCTTACTTAGCCTCTGATTTTCCAAGTTCATCTTACCAAGCTTTGTGAAAGTTGTTTTCCAGAGGTTTGTCACCAGTGTGGTCTGATCCTTTTGTCCACTTTAGGGGAGGGGTGAGCCTGGAAGCAAAGTAAGCCCTTTGTGTCTGCCACGGAAAGAGAAAAGAAATCAACAAGCACTAGCCTCTACATGCCCCTACTCAGCACCATGGACTGCCCAGTCCCACTCCTGCCATCCTTGCCAGCTCAAGAGGACCTTCCTGGCCCCGGTGTGGCGGGCCCAGTTGGGAGCAAGCCGGAATTCCCCAGGAACAAAGCACTGATTCACTGACCAGGCCCTGACGTAGCCGCCCCCTCCAGATTCCTGGGGGGTCAGTAAACAAACAGGGTGGCAGCCCCCGCCTCTTGGCCTGGTTCAGCTCTGTCTGCCTTCCTGAGCAGAGTCTCTTAGAGCTCAGCAGGAACTCTGCCTGCCTGTGGCTCCCCAGACACTGGGTCCAGATTCCTGCTGAGGGATAATCATGGAGCTGCTTGATCCTGCCCTGAACTCCCCAGGGAGCACAGGTAGGATGATCTCATGGGCCACAGGGCGGCTAAGTTCTGAGCTTGGTCCCCAGAGCTCCTTACATGGTGTAGATATAAACTGTGATTTTAATGGGATGATTGGTTTTCTACATTGCCTGGAGAGTCTTGCGTGGGGAGGAAATATGAGCTAGAGGAGAATAGGGCTGTAGGAGTCTCAACCACCAGCACACCCAGATTCTTTCCATAGGCAGGCATGTAAGTAAATGGGAAGATGGGCAGTAGGCACGCCCAGACTGAAATGGTCTCCTCCAATTCTTCTTCCCTGCATCCTCCTTTCCCTGGCTGGGTAGTCCTGGCACTGTACTCTAGGTAGTTACCATCTTATGGGTTGTTAGGTATAACCACCACTGCTCCGACTCCACAGTGACCTAACGGGGTACTACCAGCGCACAAGAGCAAGCAAAGGACTATGAGCCTGAGGACCCAAGGCTAGGCTTGGCCGTCTCCGTGGCTTGTCCTCTTGGCTGCCAACTCTGGTCAGAGTTCTTTGGCAGTCAGGATCCAGGCTGCCACTTTACCTCTTTCTCAGCCCATTCCCATTTCATAAGAAGGGCACCTGAGGTTGATTTTTAGGCTTCCTGACTGCAATGTGGGAAGTACAAGTGGGAAAGAGGGATAAATGATATCGAGGCATAGGTCTATTTGGAAACTAGCTAACTTACTACTGATAGTTCTCTCAGACTGGTCTGTTCCTTCTCTGAATCTTTATGGGGAAGCTTCTTGGCTATATTTCCCAGAAGTGAGATAAACTGTGGGGCCTTGAAGCTGAGTTTAAGTCCTATGGCTGTCAACATTTGGACAAGTCCAACTAACTTGTTACCTAATGCAGATGTACTTCCAGGACCCCATGTGGGCAGTGGTCCTGGGAGAATTTCCAATAACAGAATAGTAGTCAGCATTTCTATGTGGCTGTCCTATACCAAGAGAACTTAGTCTTACATCTCACTCCCTGAACACACCCACACAGGTTAGTTCTATTTATGAACCGTGAGACCAACACTTCTTTCCCCTTGTTCATTTTACTTCCACCCTGGGCTAGACACAGACCAGGGCATCAGCATACTCCAGCAATCACAGGATGTCTGTGTTTCTGTCCAGGTTAGAGCTGCTATCACTGCCCCTGCACTTCCTTGGAATGGTGCTGGGGTTCCCTGCCTAAGTCCAAAGCTGCTGAACGGGTCTGTTGGCACTGTTGGCCCCTTGGAACCATCAGCCATGAATCTGTGTTGGAATGAAATAAAAAAGAAGTCTCACAACCTCCGGTAAGGCCTGGTCCCTAGAAACAAGTACCTAAAGGAATTGTTTGGGATAGCACTGGTCTCCTTTTGTCACTGCAGCTTCTCCGTCTGTATTTCCCCCTTTCCTCAGCCTCACCATCCACTTCTCCCTTTCTTTGTCTGACAATGTGGAAAAGTACAAATGTTAGAGGTCAGGAGATTTAGATGGGACTCTCAGTTTTAGTAGTTGTATCCCCTTTGATAAGTTGTTTGAGTGCTCAGAATTTTAGCCTCTACTTTTTGTTAAGAAAAAAAAAGATTTATTCTTTTCCATGCTGAGTACCACTAGCTGTTTATTAGTTTCTTCTCTAGACTCAGAACTCATTTGTTTTATTATGGTCATTGTGTGATTCATTATATCTTCTTTAATCATAAAAAAAGAGAGAAAAAAGTGAGGCCAGGCATGGTGGTGCACACCTGTAATCTCAGCATAAAGAGGCTGAAGCAGGAGGAGCAGTGCTTGTTCAAGACCAGTCTGGGCTACAAAGTGAGTACAAGGCCAGCCTGAACTGCACAGGGATACCATGCACAAAAAGGCCAAAAAACAAAAGAGTGGAAGAATAATACCTGCCTTAACTACTCCACACTGATGTCACTAGGATTCATCTAAGATATAGAAATATTTTCTAAAGTTAAACATGCTAATATGTGAATGAAAGAAATTATCATTTCTAGGGGGCTGGGGAGATGGTTCTATAGAATAAGTGCTTCCCTGGCAAGTGCAAGGGCCTGAGTTCAATCCCTGGTTACACCCAAAAAAAAATTATATATATATATAAAATTTCTATTCCTTTTCCACTCACAAGTGTCCTTTATCTTGTTGTGTGTTAACTATTCTCCGTATTATCTTTTTATACCCTCTGGTCTCATCCATGCATTGTCAGAGCAGGTAAAAGCAGCTCAGTAAGAGCCTGAAGGCAATTGCTATGTTGTTTTCTTTCCCCTACTCTCCAACTTTTCTGTGTGTCAGTAATTTTCCCTCACCATCCCCTATCATAAAAGCCCAAACTCCTTGCTTCTACTGCATTATGCTGGAGATAAGGCACTTTGTAGAAATGGAAAGAATGCAGGCTCTGGAGTTATGGAAACCATAGCCCTTCAAGGGGCTTAACTGCGTGACCTTGATCAAACTATGTAAACTTCTGGGCAGTAGAAAGGCCTACCCTATAGACTTGTGAGAATTTGTTGAAGCAATCATTTAGGGAAAGGGCTTGAGCCAGGTGTAAGAAAGCAACAAGTAAAAGTAATTGTTATTGCCTGCTAAGGCGAATCTTGATGTTTGCCCGCAGCTTTAACTGGCTTCCACCTTCCTACCACTTACACCTCAGCTTATATTTCATTTGAGGGGTGGGAGAGGCAAACAGAGATGATTGTATGATAAAAACTTCTTTTTCCATATCTCATATCTCTAAGCAGTTGTTCTCTGTCCCTTGGGCTGCTTGTATTTGTACGCATTGTTGCACGTGTACGTGCCCATGCGTAACCATTGCCTTTGCCCTTTCCACTTACTGCGTTCTCTCCTACTCAAGGGAAAGGCTGAACACAGCCTCACTGGATGAGCAGTTTGACATGATGTGGATTCTACCAAGGGTGGAGGGGAACCACACAGCTGCCATCCCTGTGTGCTTGCTCAGTTTCCTTCTCCTCCCAGCCTGATGATGGCCATGTAAGCAAAGTAACTGAGATCCACAAAGTGAACATTATACTGTTCTCCATGTGGAGAGGCTCGAGACCTCTTTTGCATGGGTACAGGTTCCAAGCACCCCTCCACTTCAACTAGAGCAGCTTCCCTCAATCTACTTTATATGTTAAGTTGCACATGAGTTTTATTTGGGAAAAAAACTAAGTTTTTCCACTTAAAAAGAAGATTTAATATCACTGGTTATCTTGGTTACTATTCTCTCGTTGCTGGCACAAATACCCAACACCCAAAATGAAGGAAGGAAAGGTTTATTTAGCTCACAGTTAGTGGAGGTTTTAGTCCATACTCAGCTGGCTCCAAGGCAGACTGGCACATTGCAGCAGAGAGCATCTGTACATGTCGGCCACAAAAAGCAAGAGCTCAAAAGGAGTGGCAGCAGCTCAGGCAGCTAGCTAGCCTCTCTCCCCTCTTCACATTATATGCAAATTACCTGCCCCAGGGTGGGTGCAGCACCCACTCCCACAATAATCAATCACAAACCCCAGAAGCCACCCCATGACTGCATGAGGCTTTGGGGGGACACCTAGACATAAACCATAACACTGGTCTTCCCCATTATATGCAGTGCTCGCCTAGAGGCCTTCTCAGACCACAGTGGAAAGCTTCAGCTCCCTCTCCAAGAGATTATTGACTGGCTCAGCCAAAAGGATGAAGAATTGTCAGCTCAGCTGCCCCTACAAGGGGATGTGGCCCTGGTGCGACAGGAGAAGGAAACACACGCGGTAGGTTAGAATTGCGGAGACCATGGTGTTCAGTCTCTCAGTGGGGAAGAAGTCCTTCTGCAATACCCCGACAGACAGACACCCAGCCCTGCTCATACATCTAAAGCAAGCTGAGGTTGTGTACAGTCCTGCTTACTCATCTGTGGTTAGCATGCTACAAAGCCAAATGTTTCCATCATATTTAAAATCCTGCCTTGTTTTTTAATAGGAACATGGGGAAATGAACATCATGGAGAGGGAAACACACAGGATATAAAACTACATACAGATGGATGTCAGTTGTATAAAATGCACATAGAGATATGTATGTATATACCACAGGAATGGTATAGGATGCAGCTATATCTAAATGTCAATACTGGTGGATTCTAGGTGGTGAAATTGGAATTCTTTTTTAATTTTATTCTTTATGATTTTCTGAAAACTTCAATATAAATGAAGGACCATTTTGTAGCACGGTCACCTTTGAAGAGAAAGGATGAGAAAGTAACCAGAAGGCACCACCAGGGGGCCTTTTGGGATGCTGGGAGAGTTCTGTTTCTTGATCTCAGTACTGGTTACATAGATGGAATCAAGCTATGGAGATTTGTTCAGTCATCCACTTTTGATTTATATATTCTGTGTATATTTAACGAAACATTAATATAATCCTTGTTTATCCTGCTTTTGATTTTTCTAAGCCCCTTACAGGGGATTTTCTGAGTCTCCTGGAAAAGCAAGGTCCCCACATTTCTCTCTGTCCTGTGGTAGAGTCACACTCATTTCATGCTAAATAGATCTACCAGAGCTGGAGCTGCTCATCTTTCTGGGGAGAGGAAAAGACCTTTTCACATGTGGACAACCTATTTTCTACTGAAGCCAAGGAACCAAGTTGCACTATGAAGAAAGGTTGTTAAGTGCAGGACAGAATGGAAAGTGGTTGAAAGACTTTCTTTTCCTGTTGATTTTATTACTAAATTTTACAGGCCTTTATGGAAGAAGTCAAGTCTCGGGGTCCCTACGTCTACTCTGTACTGGAGTCAGCTCAAGCCTTCTTGTCTCAGCATCCATTTGAGGAACTAGAAGAACCTCATTCTGAGAGCAAAGGTGGGTGATCTTCTGCTCTTGCCCCTTCTTTTTGAGCTATATACTCTACAAACTAATTTTCTCAGCTGCTATCTGGGAGAGTAGTTTTATCATGAATCCAGAATTGAGGAGGAACAAGATTCATGTTGTATGTAAAAGCAGAAAGAACACAGCCTGAAACAGTGGTCACCAGCATGAGGCGTAAAGCTGTGCTGTACATATGGCCTTTTAATGATGCATGAAAAAGGAAGAAAATGAAAAAACAGGCACACCAACTGAACCAATTCAGTGAATAAAAATTACAGTATGTTAAAAAAATAGTGCTGTATTCCAACATAGAGGGACATGTGGCAATGCTCTAATCAATAAATAACTTTTCAAAATCTAAAATGCTGGGTGATGACCTTTCAGAGGAAAATGCTTGTGGCTTTTTGATACTGAGCATAGTGGCTTCTCACACTTTTTCTTGATAGGGAGGACCACTCTCCATCTACATTCAAATAAAGCAGCAGGATAGGATCCATTAAAAAAAAGTAAAGAAGAAAGCAAGGGCCAGTCAAAAAAAAAATCAAGGAGAAGGTCTTCCTATTACCTGCCTTTCTATGTTCCCACCCTGCCTTATTCGTATGTAATATTCCATAGTGGTATAAAAATAAACATACATTCAGCAAAAAATAATAAATAAATAAATTTCTGTGTGGAAAAAAAAGGATAGGATCCATGGTGATGATTAGATCTGAGTGGTGGCCCAGAAAGCCCTCTTCCCCAGAAAGAATCCTCAACACTCAGATAAGCTGTGAATACCCTAGAGAGAAGCCTTAATTAATTGAATCTTTTGTCAATTCCATTTGCTCTCTCAGTTTATTTTTAGCTTCTCAATAGGAGGGCTAGTACTTTAATTTGCTGCCCGATGGGCCTCACATTGGATAATCTCAGAAGAGAAAGACAATTCCACTTAGCTTGGGGCTTTGAGGCTCGGAATCTTCCAGCAAGAAGAAGTTCTAATGGAGAAAGAGAAAATCTATAAATTAAAAGCCCAGATTTACTGACTCTGTATCAACCTCTCTTGGTCTAGGACATAAAAAAAATGCCTGCTTTCTTTGCATGTAACTGGGAAGCAGACATTAATGCAAAATCACATTCCAGGATGCTGTGAATAGGACTGTGGCTGATTGACTTTATTAAGTGTCTTGAAATATTTTACTATCTTATCCATTTTTAACAATTATGAAGAAATCTTCATGATGCTGTAAATGAGAAAAACCAACATGGTCTCATCAGAAAGAAAAGTTTACATAGCTCACAGTGAAAAGTTTGTTTAGCTCACAGTTTGTGGAAGTTTCAGTCCATCATCAGCTAGCTCCAAGCAGGGTGGCATGGCAGAGGGACAACAGTTCAACGCAGCAGAAGACAACAAAAGCCACAAGAGCAAAAAGGGGAAGGGGGGTGATGAGCAAGCAGGCTACCACCTCTTGGGTGGGTGTGGCATTCACAGCATCTTCCTGCCCTCCTCTTGCACAGGATGAGAATGTTTACAAAATGAGGCCTCTGGCCCTGTTAAGTAGTTTAGTTAAGCTTCCAAACCTCTCAAGTTTTGGGGGTTTTTTTGTTTTTGTTTTGGTGGAACGGGGATTGAACTCAGGTCCTTGTGCTTGCTGAACCTCTCAAGTTGACTCAAAGTATCAACCTTAACAGGTCTCTTGACTGGTGATAGATACACAAACCAACATGTGATAAAAGTATATAGACAATACACATATGTGTACACACACATCATAAAAGCAAACAAACTAAGGATCTCTGAACAAAATTAGTGCTTTTTATAAATATCAAAATCCTGGCAGTTCAGTGGTGTAGCACCTGCCTAACAAGAGTGAGGTCCTGAGTTCGATTCCCCGTACCCAAAACAAAAATAGTCAAAAAAAAAAAAAATAAATAAAAGGCCAAAAAAGACATAATGTACTTTAAGAGCTACTGGAAGGACTTCATTATTTAGCATCCAAAGTTATATTAATGCTTTGAAGACCAATTTTACCTTAAATGTTACTTTTTTCTTGGTATTTCATGATTCAAGTCTCCTTGTAGAGTAATGGTGAAAGCATAATGTGTACAAGTGCACTTCGCAGGCTCTGGGTGGTCACTTAAAATTTTCAACACTTATTAGAAGTGTGATTTTGGAAATTTCTCACCTCACTAGTTTCCACTGTACTGTGGAAATAATAATATACTTAGTCATGGAATTGATGAGATAAAGACAATATCTTTGCTTATTTGGTACTTAGTTTGTGCTTCCTAAATGCCAGTTTTTTCTGACATATATTCAGCAGTCACGTATTATACTCTCAATAGTCAAACCTTTGTAGACTTTGTTAGCACAGAGCACAGAACAAATGTTTTTATAGATTTGTGCAGTAATGCAAAATCTGATGATCATATATAAATGAGCTTTTTCTCTCTGTAAAATTCTTGGAAATCATTGAAAATTCATGAAGGTGTATATAGAAACTGTACTTTTCCCAGTATTTATTCTTTTAAATTTTTATGTGTTTTGAGTACTTTTTTAAAAAAATTTAATGTTCATATCTCTTACAGCTTAGGAGTGATCTTAATGAAATACATGGAAGTAATCAAGGAGAGTAAGACACCAAAAGGAATGTAGCACATTGAAGAATAGGGAATCCTTAGTGCAGTAAGGGGCTAGCAGAAAAGCTATTTGTTTTGAAACTAATAAAAAAAAATTGCATGTGAAAAAAATATCCTGGCTGTGGTATTGGACTATCCTTTTACAAGATACCACCAATTGGGTAAAGAGAATATGAAATCTTTGCATTGTTTCTTACAATTGCATGTGAATCTATAAAATCTCAAAATAGTTCAACTAAAATAACTGAATGTCCAACGGAGGTCAACTATAGAAAAGCACGCATTTGTACATGAATATATACAGAAACATGTACACACATGTACTAGTGCTCACACTGCATACACCACACACACACATATACATATGTCTTTGTCTCTGCCTTTCCCAGAGCTCTCCTGTCTGGTTAAGGTTAGCCTCACCTGGTTTCCTGCCTTCACTTGCAGATACCTCCCCCAGACAGCGGATACAGAATCTGAGCCGCTTTGTGTGGAAGCAGGCAACAGTGGCCAGTGAACTATGGGAGAAGTTGACCGCCCGCTGTGTGGACCAGCACCGCCACATTGAGCGCACACTAGAGCAGTTATTGGAGATTCAAGGGGCAATGGAGGAACTGAGCACTACTCTGACCCAAGCTGAGGGAGTCCGAGCCACTTGGGAGCCCATTGGAGACCTCTTTATTGATTCACTCCCAGAGCACATCCAGGCTATTAAGGTATGCATGGCCCCTCCCCTGGCTATAGTCCCCCCGGAGAGCTGACAGTGTTCTTCCTGCTGAGACTCCATTGGTGTGTATGATGACTAAGGCTACTTTAGTGTGTGTGCTAGATCTGGGGCTGGCTTGGCTGTAGTGTCCATTGTTCTTCTGTAATCTTTCCTTTCCCTGGTTTTCTGATATGAGGAGAGGAAGCAGATAGAACTGTGGACACTCACACCTTACTCTCGCTGTCCTGCTAGGCAAACAGCTAAGTTGTATGTTGAAACAAAACCTCTGGGTGAAGAGGGAAGGGTTAAGTAAATGACTAATGGGTCCTCTTTCCCACTATCTGTCTCCTATGGCACTTGGGTTCTCCAGCTATTCAAAGAAGAATTCTCTCCCATGAAAGATGGAGTGAAGTTGGTGAATGATCTGGCCCATCAACTTGCCATTTCCGATGTACATCTGTCAATGGAGAATTCCCGAGCCCTGGAGCAAATCAATGTCCGGTGGAAACAGCTACAGGTAGAAGAGTAGCCTTAAGTGAGTTGGGAGTAGTTGCCTCAGGATAAGTAGACTTAGGGAAAACTTTCTCAAGCCCAAAGGAAACAGAACCTACATGGAAGGACCAGAGATATATCTCAGTAGCACAAGTGCCTGCCTGGCAAGCATAAGGTCCTGAGTTCAAGTCCCAGTACCAAATCCCCCAAAAAATTCTGCATAGGAAAAGGTTGGTGAAGAATGTGGGGTTGGAGAGCAGGTTTCTCAGCATCGAAGTTTTCAGGGTGTGATTAAACCAAAGAAAATGAGAACAACCTGTCTGGTTTTGGACATGCAAGTAGACAGAGGTAGAAGAGTCACTGTGGTTGGAAGTAGGGAGATGCTCCTGAATGCTGGGAGAAGGAACAGGAATTAGGAGATAGTGAAAGGGTCTAGAAGGAAAAGCCAGGCTAGGGAGGAGCTGCTAAAGATTCCTAGAAGCACCAGAGTGTTCCCACATGAACTAGTTAGAATGAATCTATCTCCCTGCCTATTCTTTCCATAGGTGTCAGTTGGTGAGAGGCTCAAGCAGCTCCAGGATGCCCACCGAGACTTTGGGCCCGGCTCACAGCACTTCCTCTCCTGTACGTGAGCCAAAGTGAACTTCACTTAGCAGAACTTCAGTCACCTTCCAAGAGAATCTACTGGTGTCCCCTAAGGGCCTGGTGGGAGTCTAGTATACCTTGTCATCTAAAAAGCAGTACAGATAAAAAAAAATATGGTAGTTGAAAAAATAAGCTCTCCAATTAGAGAGACCTGAGTCAGTGTACCTCAGCTTAGTAGTGGTGCAAGCTTGAAAAAAAATAGCTTAATCTTTTGGAATCTCAATTTTTCCATCTGTACATAGAGGGAAAAATATTACCTAGCTTATAAATCAGGTTTCAGAAATTAAGTGACTATTTATTCAATAGTATTTATTGTGGGCCACGTACATTTCTGGACACCAGGGTTGCATCAGTAAATGCAACAGAAATCCTTAGAGTTGGCCCATTTGCATTCCAGTGGAAGATGCCAGAAGGCATGGTTAATGAGAACTGGTTTTAAAGAGGCATTGCAGAGACCTGCTAGGAAAGTGACAACTGAACAGAGGCCCAAGAGGCAAAATAATGAACCATGTGAATAGCTTAGGGAAAAGCATACCACATAAGGATTCCAAGTCCTTAAAACAGGGTGTGCTAGGGCAAAGCCCATATAGAGGAGTGTAGAGAGAAAGTGTTGGGAGGACAGACCACAGAGGGCCTTGTAGGTAAAACTATTTTGGATTTTATTCCCAATGAAAAAGAGAATTTTTGTCAGGGTTTAAAGCAAGGGATGGCATGATATGATTTGTTTCAACATTGGGTTAAGACAGACTGTTGATGGGGAGTGGGAGCTGGGAGACCTATTGGTGAGCACATTGCAGTAATCTAGGTGAGGGAGGATGGTAGATCGGACCAGGGTTGTAGCAGTGATATGGTGAGAATATACAGAAAGGAATGTCAGACATGCACACAAAGCAAAACATAGAATTTGGTATATAGTAGGAGCTCAATAAATGTTATCCATGGTTACAACCCTTGCCAATATACTTAGTGACATGAATCAGGTTCTGCAAAGGGATCTTGTACTCAGGGAAACTGATGAGCAGATAGATTAACTAAGTAACCTGAGCCTCTTCTGGAAGCACCAGAAGATAAAGGGCTGAGAGAAGCATGAGTTTGCAGAATTTCTCGTGGGGGGACCATAACCCTCACAGGCCTGAGAAGCTTGGCTTTGTAAGAAGGGCTTTCAGTTCTACTTTGTAACAGAATAAAAACCCATCTGCCTATGGCTGAATGGTGGAAAAGTAGGGTGGCCAAGGCCAAATACTGCTGTTCATACCCCAGCCAATCTCTAGTGCATTAGGGCATCAAAGGCAATCTCTACTTTTCTTACCCTATCATCAGGGAAAGAAATGTGTTCATTAGAAATGTTTGCCTACTGCGTATGATAGTAAATGTGGCACTCTCAGAGGCTGAGACAAGAGGATCATAAATTTGAGCCTGGCTTGACCAAGTGAGATCTTGACTCAAAGTTAAAAATACAAAAGGGATAGGAATATATACTTCAGTGCAGAGGTCTTAGGTTGAATCCCAAGTACCACGAAAGAAAACATTACTGCTCCCTCAAGTGTTATATTAGAAGCTAGCAATGAGCTCAAATATCTTTTTTGTTTGATCTATCTTGGGGAAAAACAAAACAGGAGAATGGCAGGCTGGGAGAGGTAAAAGGCGTTAGTGGCCAGCTTGCTTTCTCTTTCTCTTCTCCTTTACCAGCCTCTGTCCAGGTTCCCTGGGAAAGAGCAATTTCACCCAATAAAGTTCCCTACTACATCAAGTGAGTGATCGTCAGAATCAGAAGCAGGTCAATCTCTATGTGCCCCTCCCTTTCCTGCCTTTTGCTACTTACCCCAGCACTCCTTGTTCACTAGAATTCCTCCACCCAGTTTAGTTTTTCCTCCTCATGCCAAGACCTCAAGACTGTTCCTCAGTAAAGGTGAAGCCTTGTGCTTTGGGATCTTCAGGGTTCACCTTTGCATCCTGCAGCTTCTTGCATCCAACATATCACTGGGTAGTGTGCACATGCGTGGTGGGGGGAAGTGCGGAGGAGCGTGATTGATCCTGGATGCTTGTGCTAGCGATGCTTTTGCTTGTAGTCACCAGGCGCAGACCACATGCTGGGACCACCCCAAGATGACTGAGTTATACCAAACCCTAGGTAAGAATGTGGGGTTCCCCATTCCATTGTTGGTGGACTGTAAACTGATACAACAAATATGAAAATCAGCATGAAGATTTCCCCAAAAAGCTAAAAATAGAAATTCCATTTGGCCCAGCTATTCATCTCCTAGGTATCTCCCAAAAAGAGTTAATGACATAGTACAGTGATACACACATACACTTGTTTATAGCAGCACAATTCATCATAGCAAAAATCTTAGAAGCAATCTATAGATATACAAACAGATGAATAGTTAAAGAAAATGTGGCACTTTATACAATGCAGTACTCTGCGAAAAGAAAGATAAATTTGAGTCATTTGTAGGACAAGGGATGCACCTCGAGACTATAAAGTAAGTGAAGCAACTCAGACTCACAAATTTAAATATTATGGTGTTTCTTTTATATGAAAAACGCAAACATATATAGCATATGAAATAAAATAGATAATAGGGAGAGGAAGAGAAGGAAATGTATTGTAATCCAATGAAGACAGGGTATCTATAAGTATATTTTGACTTACCGCACTTGTTTTAATCTTTTATGGTCTTTGGTCTATTAGTCTGGTTTTCAATCTGTATATCTTATAACTAACTTTATAAGGTTTAGTAGATTAAATAAATAAATTTGATGCTGGAAACATAAAACAGGGTTGGAGGAAATGAGAAAATAGAATTGAAATGTGTTGCACATATGTACCAATTTCCTACAGTGAATGCAATCATTATGTACTAGAAACATGTACTAATAGGGGATTTTTTAAGAATATGGGTTTCCTGTATAGAAGTGGGTATCTATGTCACTACCTCTGTCCTAGAATGGTCATCAACAGATGAGGAAAATATGTTATATTTATACAACAAAATAGTATTTGGCCTTACAAGGCAGGAAATAATGCTGTTTGTTTTCATATGTATAAATCTAAAGGACATTGTGCTAAGTGAAGTAAGCTATTCACCAAAAGAAAAACATTGTATGATATCACTTATATAAGGAATCTAAAACAGCCAAACTCATGTAGGTCATAAAGTAAAACAGTGATTATCAGGGGCTACAGGGAGGAGGAAATGGGGAGATATTGGTCAAAGGCTAAACAGTTGTATTTAATCAAAATGAGTAAGTCGTATTAGCTGGGCACAGTGTCATACACCTATAACACCAACACTCAGGAGTCTGAGGCAAGAAGATCACCACAAGCTGGGGGCCAGTCAGGGCCACAAAGTAAGTTCAAGGTCAGCCTGAAAAACACAGTGAAAGTATGTCTCAAACATACCAAAAAAAACAAAGAAAGAAAAAGGGAGAGAGAGACAGAGAGAGGGA